CTCTCTCTGCCCCTCTTCCTGTCCATCTTCCCTTCCCCCCTCCTTCTTTCTCTCCTGCACTATGGGACACAGGTCTGTTGCATGTCAGGCAAGCTCTAGGACTTAGCTCTGCATCCAGCTCTCCTGAAGCCCGTTCAGCATGCACATCCTTGAACTCAACCTGTAAATGAGACCTCCACATACAGAAAAACAGTTCCACTCTCAGCACTGAGGTCAGGCCTCCTTGGGTAACTGAAGCCCTGTACCTATGTAAACGCCCTCACGTCCGCCCCAACATCTTCAACTGTGCTTCCTGCCCTTCTCCCTGAGAAGTTTGGCCAACGGTATCACCATTCTTGGGGCTGGAGAGAAGGCTCAGTGGTTAAGAGCGCATCCTACTGTTGTAGAGGACATGAATTTGTCTCCGAGCACCCACCTCAGGTGGCTCAGGCTGCCTGAAACTCCAGCTCCAAGGGACCTGATGTCCTCTTCTGGACTCTACAGGCATCTCAACTCACGAACACACACACACACACACACACACACACACACACACACACACACCAACATAAATTACAAACTAAAATGAGGATAGAGATGACTCAGCAGTTAAGAGCATGCCCCCTCTTCCAGAGAACCTGAGTTCAATTCCCAGCACCCACATTGTGGCTTAAAAATCTTTAACTCTGAGCTGGGTGGTGGTGGCGCATGCCTTTAATCCCAGCACTTGGGAGGCAGAGCCAGGTGGATCTCAGGTGGATCTTTGTGAGTTCAAGGCCAGCCTGGACTACCAAGTGAGTTCCAGGAAAGGCACAAAGCTACACAGGGAAACCCTGTCTTGAAAAACAAACAAACAAACAAACAAATCTTTAACTCCAGTCCCAGAGGATCCGATGCCCTCTTCTGGCCTCTGCAGGCACTGCACACACACAATGCACAGATACATGCTGGCACAACACCGGTACACGTAAAGATAAATGAGTAAAATTTCAAACAGACGAGACAAATCTTTTTTTAGTGGTGCCACCCTTTGGCATTCATTGTCTTCCAGCTTCTGCCACTGCTGAGGTTCTGACAGCCCCCGTCTGAGAGCTCCCCTGTCTCTGGACAGTGAAGCCTGCTAAGAACAGCCTTCCATCCCCTGTATGAACGATGACAGGCTAAGTGGTGCCGCCAGCTGGTGCTGAGTTTTAGATGGCAGCAGAGCAAAGCAAAGGGGACGTGGTCAGTTCTCTTTAGCTGACGCACTTAACAAGGTTAAAAAAAAAAAATCTAATCTCTGCTTTCAAAAACCAGGAAGTCCAATCTGTCAACTCAGCATGGACTGATCATTCGTCCTAGTAAAACGCACAGTGATGGATCCCCGCACAGCTGTCGGATGTCATGGACCTCACCATGCCTCCACAAAATGAGGCCCCAACTTCCAGCACAACTGAGTTTGGAGACAGGACTTCTATGAATATCAGTGAATTTTAAAGGTCATGAGGCAATCAGAGCGGTGGCCTTACAGAAAGGGACACCAGCTCTCTCACACACGCATTCTCACATAGAGGAAAGGCGACATGAGACACACTGGGACAGAAGACAGCCCCTCTGTAAGCCCAGAAAAAGACGCTTCACCAGACACCAAGCATGGCAGCACCTTGAACTTGCACTCTGGACTTGCAGAACTGAGTTACGGTTCTGTTGAGTAAGTCCCCTTGTCTGCTGTTTACTGGGCAGCCTTTCCTGACAAACACTCCACTTTGTGAATTTTAAATGAGGACACGGCAGACCAGTAACACGGAAGAGCCAATGTGAGTTATCTACACACCCCAAGAAGGCCAGAGCTGTGTTCGCTATCCCGCAAGTACAGAACTGGAGTTTGTGGCTTAGAAACCCCCTAAAGGAATCTGGAGTGCATTGTCTAGTGATCTGAGGCTCACACTAACCACAAAACGGCTTTGGCCTTGACCTGAATACATTCTAACCAAGCTCTCCTCCATTAATGTCCAAGCTGGGTCCTAGGAGCTCAGCGTGGGCATATTATGGGAAGTCAAGTTTCCCCTTGGTGCTGGGTTCATTCGTCTTTCCCTTGGACAAAACTGTCTCTGGGATTCAAACCAGAGAATTCTGCCTCTAAAGCCAGACCAGCCCTGGGAGAGACTCTGTGGGCAATAAGGAACAGGCAGCATGAGCCCAATGTTTGACACCTAAGTGCATCACCCTTTGCTGATAAAAAGTTAAACAAAACAGAACACTTCAGTAGACCTCTCATTTCCACTAAAAAAAAAAAAAAAAATTCTTTCAAGAGTGCCTGGTGCCATGCACCAGACACTCAGCTAAGCCAGCGAAACTGTGCATCCTTACAATTACAGAACAGTCCTGAAGAATCAGAGCGACTGGTCCAGGGAGCAGGGACACTTACGACACACCAAAAGGCCCCTGGCAGCTTCCCAAGGTAAAGCTAGAAAGCCAATGACGAAGAACGGAATCCAGGACAAGAGTGCTGCTGAGGAGATTCTGGTTTGGGGCCACCTCCTGGAGCGAATTTCAAAATAGGCAGCCCTCCCCAGGAATTGGAGTGACGGTCTGAAAACATTCAAACACCTTGATGCACAGAACTGGAATGCTTTAAGATGCCGAGAAACACAAGGCTTTAGAACCCAAGGAAGAGCGTTACTTACATGACGGAATAATGAACTGTGGCTCAGTGTTCCCTGCGTAGCCAAGCTTGGTATACCTAAAAGCACAAAGTCATCAACACAGGTTTAGATGGCAAGGCTCCCAACCGCATCCCACTCATGTCTTTCATTATCAGCACACCAAGCCCTGAAACACCGAGCCTAGAATACTCCCTTGCAATAAAAAAAAAATACAGAGAAAAACAAACTGTGCTCACTGGGGATCATTTCAAAGTAGGGTCGAAGCTGACGTATCAGCGTGTTTGTGTCGGGACAGAAACGGGACTGATGCTCGTGTCTGTCTCTCTGGCCCTCCTGGCTCTCACCGTGCTCTCATACTCTTCTCGCCTTCACAGAACACAAAGAAAACACGATTATCCCGGTTTTGCAGATAGGAAAACCGGGACACTGAAAAGCTAAGCTGCCCCGACTACAGAGCTAGCGAAAGGCAGAAGAGGAACGCAAGTCTAACCATGCATGCGGCTAACTCCAGTGCAGGCTCTGTAGAAAGGACTTACTTCCTAACTTCCTCAAGTTTTGGAGCGTTAGAGATTGATTATATAATTTTCTTGAAATGCCGCAGCATATGTCTAGACGCAGCTCCTGCCATCTCCTGGGGATCATCGACGGGAGCATCTCTCTACCGTCACGCTTCAAAAGAAGCCCACTTTCTGTCAAGATACTCTGGTAGATTCCAAAAGTCTTTACGAAAACAAATGCCAAAATACTACTTTCTGTTCCAAAAGCATTCGATAATCTCCTAAATATAAAAGGGGGGAGGGTGACACATCACTCAGACCATCTGCTGGAAGGGTACAGGGAAATGCAGTCTGGGGAGCTGAGGACCAGCGTCCCGCTCCCTCTGCGGGGCTGATCACAGCAGTCAGCGCAGCCAGCCTTTGCTTACAGGGCTAAAGCACTTCCCAGGACTAGAAAGGAACAGTGGATTTGTTCTCATTTACAAATTATTTCAAGATGTTTGATATTAAATGCTTCCATTTGATATTTCTCAATTCTTATAATTTAATTATTTTTTAAAATATACTCTACCATCTGCTGGCTTTGGTATTTTTTGAAAGCACAGTGAGCGACACCAGCAAGCTTGCTGCCCTCACATCACACCTATTGTCCACCTTCCATGGGATGTGAGTTCTTCATACCACCGCAGAGGACAAGGCCAGACTCTGAGACGCCTAGGCCCTACAAAATAAGACCCATCTGAAGCCCCTACCATTCCACACAGTTTAGAGCTGGGAACAGAAATTAACAATCAAGTGGATCCACAGTCTCCCATGTCAGGGATCACAGACCCACAGGAGAGGACGTTTCTAGACCAACCGAGAGCCTGAAGGCTTCGGAGAATGAAGCCAACACATATTGAATTTGAGAATCCAAGACCAGCACAGCACAGTATCACAGCTTATAATCCCAGCACTAGGGAGGCTGAGGCAGGAAAACAGCCAATTCAAGGCCAGCTACATAGTGACAGACTCACAGACAAACAAAAACAGCCAGCTCATCCTAACATGACCATCATTCTGGAGATGCTCCAAAGAACTGAGTTACTGGCCCAAGGCTAAAAAGTTTCCAGAACCAATAAGCAGGCCGGAAATCACTAAATCATGAAGCTGAATTACATGTTTTTTAACAAGCCATGCCATTCATTAGCCACCTACCCCCCAAAACTCTACCCTTGCACTTAAGTCATTTAAATAAATCCATTCTTTCCCACTGCTAGCTTGTGAGTTCCTGGCATTTACGGATCTCTGCTCCCTGGAACAGTATCTGGGCGCGTAGCAGAATTTCCTAAGTACCTGCTGATTATACTCTTGCCAGATGCTGAGCTACTGGGAGCAAGACTGATGTTTAACAAGGAGATGATTAAGGCCATGAGAACAAAAAGTGATGAAACCAGAAGAAAAAAAAATATCAGACTCTGATACAAAGTACTGTGCAGATGAGAAAAGATCTACCACATGTAATGTGTTCAAACTATGGCAATACGCAAGCATTTATTAATATTAGATGCTAAGTATCATTCGTGTTTGCCATTTTTTTAATCAAGTGTTTTTGTTGTTGTGATTTATTATGCTCTTTCATAATGGCACAGGCCTTTAATCTCAGCACTTGGGAGGCAGAGGCAGGTGCATCTCTGTGAGTTCTAGGCCAGCCTGGTCTACCTACAGAGTTAGTTCTAGGACAACCAGAGCTACATAGTGAGACCCCATCTTAAAAACAAACAAACAAACAACAACAACAAAATAAGACCATATCCTTTGGCACTGGATGTCCTGGATTCAAATCCTACCTTGCTATTTGCCAAATCTGAGGAAACTACTTCACCTCTTTGTATGTTGATTTCCCTACCCCTTCAGTATAATTGGTACAATAATACAATGGAGATAACATATATAAAAGTGATACAATGTTACCTCTTTGTATGTTGATATCACTACCCCTTCAGTATTGTTGAAGCAATTATACAATGGAGATAACATACATAAAAATGATACAATGTTGTGCTTTTAAGTTTTACTTATTCTTTTACTATCATTTTTTCCTAGATGTTTGAAATATATCTTTAGTTGAAAATTTGAAAGGTAGTCAGGTATGGTAGCACACACTTACAATCCTACCACTTGGAAGGCAGAGGCAGAAAGACTGAGAGCTCAAGGTCATCCTCAGCTTCTGCATCACAGCAAGTATAGGACCAGCCTGGGCTATGTGAGACCCTCAGCACAAAACAAAACAAAACAAAACAAAACAAAAAAACAAAAAACAAAAAAAAAAAAACTATGTTTTATAAAAAAGAAAAAGTACTAATTATTTTATGTTTTTAATGTACTTTGTCTACTTGATTTGAGATGCTTCAGCAAAAATATTCTTTTTTCATGTTTCATTTTTTTAAATGTACTTTGCCCTAAACCACAATGACCACTCTTAGTAGCAGAGTCAGTCCGACTTGAGGATGACACTGCCCTTAATGGTGACTCTGGTAGATACCAGATGGCCTTCATCAGCTCCATCCCATCTTCAGGCCACAGCGCTCTTCCCTGCACCCTAACCAATGCCCACTGCAGCAAGACATCGGACAAGAGAAATGGACGGGAACTCTGAGGACCTACTGCTCCAGACTCCAGCCAAAACTGTCAGCGCACTCAGAACATCCGGAGTAACAACCGGAGCCCACACACACCCTTAGCACCTGTCCCCACAGTGTGGTGAGGGCACCGTAAGCACTATGCAGTGATTTTCACACCTGAGGCGAACCACCATAAAGATACATTACATTTTTACACACTGAATTGGGGGACTCTGTCCTACCCTCCATGGGGTACTAGAGCCATGAGGGGGAGGGGAGGCACTCACTGGCAAAGACAAAGACTATAATCACATCACGGTAATTAAACGTCTGTCAGATTCCCTGTACTGTTCTCTATAAAGTATCAAATACCTTTGACTTTTGTTACTTCAAATAATCATGATGTAAGGAATATCTAACACAAATTTTCAAATTCAAAATTTTAGTAAATTCTCTATCAATATGGACTCCCACCAAACTTCTCTGAGAATCAATGAATTATAACTGTAAAAGTAACCCATAAGGTGCCTATTTCCAAATACTTCCCAGAACCTGTCCCCTCCAGTCAACAAGAAAAACCCAATCCTTAAATCTGTAAAGTGTTCAAGTTCCCATTCACAAACCAAGTTTCCCATGGGTATCAGTTTACTGACTAGAATCCATGTAGCCCACACTGTTGAGTCACCTAGAACACTGAGGGGGAGAGGGGAAACAACCCAAAGATCTTCAGAATGGTCCTTAAAATGTCTATTAAAACCATGACTTCAGATTGAATCTCATAAGCAAGTTTAAGATCATCTGAGCAGGCACCTGGAAAGCATCAGCCACCCATGACAAAAACCTACCATACACGTTCCCAGGCCCAGAGCAAGACCTCCAGAAAGAACCTGGCACCTGCACTTTAACATCTTATTTCCTTTGCTCCCATGGGTTCTAACTGTCAGCCAGCCTAGAACTAATTCCCAGACCTATAACCTACATCACATACAATCACCTTTCCATTATACAATGCAAGCTCCCGACCTCACGGTCACATTCTAATGAAGTAACTCACTACTCACCACAATCATGAAACAAAACACATCTATATGTTCAGGTTTAATAATGACCAGATGAAAGGTCCAGATGAAAGGACCCAGGTACAACAATAAGAGCACTCTGCTTATGCATTCCAGGAAGAAAATGCATTTCTATTTAAAATATTACACAATTTACAAGTAGAAAAACAAACCAAACCCAACTAGCAATGAAAAGAACATATACACTCATGACAGAAACATTGACTCCTTGCAAGGTAACAAGGGCTAGGGACCTCTCAAACTATGACCATGAAGTCTAAATACTTCTCTATTGAAATCAAGAATCAGCTAAGGAAACTATAGCTGCTTCTCTGGTTTAACCTTGTCTGGGGAAAATTAGATACTACAAATCACATGAAAAACCAAAAAAAATTCTAGCAAATAAATGTTGGGGAAGAGGAAACAAAAATAATTTTTTAGATTTATTTTTATGTTTATGTGTTTATTAAATGTATACAAGTGTTTTTTTTTTTTTTTTTTTTTTTTTTTTTTTTTTTTTTTTTTTTTTTTT